CCCAAACAGTTTACTGTTAGGGGTTCTCAATGCTTTAAAGAATGGTCCCCTTGGTGCTGGATGGTCTGGTCGGGTTCCCGGCCGGCTTGTCTCCCACTTTCATTTGTCTCCCAGTTCTTTTCATTTGTCTCCCAGGCTGGGTGCTTGTGGTCGGGTTCTCGGCTGGCTTGTCTCCCGCTTCCTTTCATGTGTTTCCCACTTCTTTTCATTTGTCTCCCACGTCCTTTCATTTGTCTCCCACTTCTTTTCATTTGTCTCGCAGTTCTTTTTATTTGTCTCCCAGGCTGGGTGCTCGTGGATTTGTCTTCCACTTCTTTTCATTTGTCTCCCAAGCCGGGTGCTTGTGGTCGGGTTCCCGGCTGGCTTGTCTCCCACTTCCTGTCATTTGTTTCCCACTTCTTTTCATTTGTCTCCCACGCCCTTTCATTTGTCTCCCAGTTCTTTTCATTTGTCTCCCAGGCTGGGTGCTTGTGGTCGGGTTCCCGGCTGGCTTGTCTCCCACTTCCTTTCATGTGTTTCCCACTTCTTTTCATTTGTCTCCCACGTCCTTTCATTTGTCTCCCACTTCTTTTCATTTGTCTCCCAGTTCTTTTCACTTGTCTCCCAGGCTGGGTGGTTGTGGTCGGGTTCCCAGCTGGCTTGTCTCCCACTTCCTTTCATTTGCCTCCCACTTCTTTTCATTTGTCTCCCAGTTTTTTCAATTGTCTCCCAGGCTGGGTGCTTGTAGTCGGGTTCCCGGCCGGTCTCCCACTTCCTTTAGGCTGGGTGCTTGTGGTCGGGTTCCCGGCTGGCTTGTCTCCCACTTCCTTTTATTTGTTTCCCACTTCTTTTCATTTGTCTCCCAGGCTGGGTGCTTGTTTCCGGCCGGCTTGTCTCCCACTTTCTTGCATTTGTCTCCAACTTTTGCCCCAAACAGTTTACTGTTAGGGGTTCTCAATTCTTTCTTAAGATGTGTCACTGCTGGTGTCCGCCCATTTCCACTGGCCATGTAGCATTTCAAATTAATCATTTTTCTCCCAGGTCTACTGCTGGTGTCCGCCCTTTTCCGCTGACCATGCAGCATGTCTATTCATTTGTTTCCCGGGTCTGTCACTGGTGCTGCCGCCCTTTTCCGCTGGCCATGTAGCATTTCGATTCATTTGTCTCCCATGTGATTTCTTTCTTTTTGTCTTTCAGGTTTGGTCCATGCACTGCTGTTTTCTGCCCTGTCGGCTGGAACAGGTTCACCTGTTGCGTGACTGTCTCCGGGATTGCATTCCTGCCACACTGTGTAACACTCAGCTTTGTTTTCCTTTTCGGGCAAGCGTTGGATGAATGACCGGATTGGATTTCGGCGGCGTGGCAGCCATCTCTCTGTTCAGTTGGGACGGGGGGCATACGTCAGGCACCAAAAATCAATTTCATGTCACATCCTTCGCTCCTCATGCTTTTATTTCTTTTCCTCACGTGGTCAACTCCCCGCTGATTGAGCAGCATGACTAGCATCATGTTCGCACTTGAAGAATAATTCCCCAAAAGGTTTACTGTTAGGGCTTCTCAATTCTTTTTTAAGATGTGTCCGCCCGCTCTGTACTGCTGTGTCCGTCTCTGCCTTGCAATCCTTTACATTTGTTTTCCAGCTCTGGGCTGCTGCGGCCGCCTCTGCCTTGCAATCCTTTGTCTCCCACCTCTGGACGTCGCAAGCTCTAGTTTCGATTTTGAAAAAACACAAACTGTTTGGGGTCTACGGTGGTGTAATTTGTGGGTTTCTAGCCTTCTCACGCTAGTCTACTAGTTAACAAGTTGCCAAGGAAGATCGAGGCAAAGAATGGCTTGGAGAACTACTGCTTCAGCATGCGCAATACACTCAATGAGGAGAAGCTCAAGGAAAAGTTTGAGACTGTTGACAAGGGGAGGATTGAATCGGCCGTGCAAGAGACCTTGGACTGGCTGGACAAGAATCAGCTTGCCGAGAAGGATGAGTTTGAGGCAGGTGGTTTTTCATTTTTGGCCTCCCCATCCGAATGCCAAACCAGACTGGGAGGGAGTTTAAGGGTCCTCTTCGGTCCTTTCAGAAACCGTGAAGCCGTTTTGAGGCCAAGCAGAAGGAACTTGAGGCCATCGTGAATCCGATCATGATGAAGGTCTACCAAGCTGCCGGCGGCGACGGTGGAATGCCAGGCGGCATGGGCACACCTGGCGCGCCTAGCGCTCCCGGCAATGGCCCCACGGTTGAGGAGGTAGACTGAGACCAGCGACTGTAGCGACCACTTTTGGCCGACGTGGAGTCCTGAATTCGATTTACTGTATACTTGATAGTACTTGATAGTACTTGAGCGGCTTTGCCCACAGACCAGTTGTACAGGGAACAGGTGAAAAAGATGAAGAGAGGCTCAGAGATTCAAAGCAGGGCTTTCAGATAATGTGAGAGTTGGAGTCTCGAGATACTTTGGTTTGAGTGTTTTGTTTTTTCCAGCAAAGCAATGTTGTTTGCTTTGCGGGATCAAAGCAAGCCAGTATGCAACTGATTTGAGGTAAGAAATGGAAAGAAGAACTCACTTCTTGAGTCAATTCTTGTCACCATGCCTTCCAGTTCTTTGAGCCGTCAGGTGTTGAGTGATTCTGAAAAGAGAGCCAAGTACGACAAATTCGGCCGGGCTGCCTGCAACACCAGTCTTGTGTGGCGGGATGACAGGGTTCTTCATCATGGGGTTTCGATGAGGGCGGGGTTGATCTCTTTGCGGTTTTAAGTTTATGAGTACCGCTGAAATGTCTTCGAACTTCATGGATCAACAGACTAAATGACCAAATATATATATATATATATACGTATATATATATATGCAACATTATGCAATTATTAAGCTACTTACGTGATTTGACATAATTAGATGATGTCTTATTATTTCAATATGTTATCTTGGATTTGGGACTGCAGCCTATTCAATACGTTGTACTGGTATTTACAATATCCATGTTGAGGATGTTTCGGCCACACGCAGCATCGAGGTGAGGAGGGCTTGGACAGCGATGGTCCTGGCGATGCATCCGACATCTTTGAAGCCTTCTTTGGAGGCCAAGCAGCAGACCGAGGATGTCGTATGTGTCTCACCACGGGTCCATTGCAGCTGCAGTCGTGAGAGCTTCATTTGTGGCGAAAGCTGCAACTGGGATGCAGTTGGAACGTATCTGAAGCATATCACAAATTCTCCAGATACAGTAGCAGTTCTCCAAATCGTGCAAGATGCTTCACCTGAGAACTTCACCTGAGTGACCCAAGATGCTTGCCTGACACCATCAGGTTGAACATGTTGAACCTAAGAAGTAAATCATTCATTAACAAGGTTCGCTACTAGGGGCTCCTGGCCATACTACTAGGAGCAAGGACGCTACTGGGGGGCTCCTGGCATCGCTACCAACGGAGCATTCTTCAGGCCGTTCAGGTCAACTGAATCGCAAGCGACCCCTTGCGACGAAGACGCCAGGGGGCGGTGGACGTCGTGGCGGCGCCTCCCGGAGACGACAGAAGACCAAGGACTGCCGTGACGGAGCGTGGCGAAGGAGTTGACGAAAAGAGTGATGGACATCCTTTGCATTTTTCATTACAATACAGTACAGTTGAAGCAATATTAGATTGTGATTGTGCCATTGTGTGTATTGTATTTGCGCACCGGGAATTTCATAGAACACTATAATCACTTTTCAGTCGAATTGTTTTGAGACATGTTAGTCCACATTTCCAAGCTGCAGGACGTAGTTCAGAACCTGAAGGTGACATTGGAACAGATGCTTTGCCGCATTTCCCGTGATCCACACAGTCACGACAGATGAACTAGTCAAACCTATGTCAAGCCTTTGGCATGATGGGGCATGTTTGAAATCCCAGCTCAGCTCCCTATTTTGGAACAGTTTGGTGCTGACAACAAGTTTGGTGCTGTGAATGCCGGAATGGCCGAGTGCATGGCCGGAATGGCATCCCCACACATTTCCGCAGAATTCGGAGTTGCATCCTGTCTCAGGATGTATTCCGGCTTCACCAAGAAGATGGCCATCACTCGACAGGTGTGGGGTATGGACAGAATGAAAAAGACCTGATGGATGAAGTCAGCAACAAGCTGAAGGAAGAAGAGAGCTTGCTTACGAACATGGCATGTGGATGCCCCGTGCCGCAAGCGCGGCACTCTTTCACCGTACAAAGCGAATCACCGTAGGACATGACGCCCCTTTCCTCTCCACACCACGACCGCACAGAAAGCGAAACAGGACATGGGGTTCGGCCTCATGAGATCTCATTAGGAGGTTCGGCCTCTTAAGACGCCCGCAAAAGGTCATCGACAAGAAGAAGGGCGTCCAGGAGTGCAGAGAATGCGATGGCCGCGGCGTGAAAGTGGAGGTGGTCCGAATGGGGTTCCGAGCTGAGAGGATGCACGAACGACCGGAGCGTGTTCCGAAGAACTGAAACCTCGTGCCGCTTTCTCCCAGGCCAATGATTCAGCAGATGCTCCTCGGTTGAGCTTATGACATTTTCTCTTTCGCGGTTCTCTGGGGCAAGCCAAAAAGGAGTTCATGTTCATGTTTCTGGGAACTTCTAGAACGCAGTATGCTGGCCAGGCCATCCGAACCTTTCACTATTGCTCACTCAGTTTTTGTCCTTATCAACCTCGTATCATTACATAGTTCCACAATTTGTCAGACTGACTCACTCATGGCTCTGAAATGAAGTGGAAGGCAAATTGCCGACACCCAGTGGCTGTACTACTAGTAGGGCCATACCTATGGGCCAACTGAGGCAGTCCCAGTGCCACAGCTGTGGTGGACAAGGGAAGAGCTTCCAGACGAAGCAGGAGAGAGAGGCCCTGCAGCTGTTTGCCTTCAGTTGTTTGGATTGGTTTTGTCCAGCACGAGAGGACGGAGGTAAAAAGTTAATAGATGAAACATCTCCTTTCCCTTCTAATGGAGGGACTAGAAACCAGTAAAACTACAGAAGTTGTGATTGACCACCTTGTCAGCACTTGCATGTTGGAACCGATGGAAGACCTTAGAAGTTCAAGAAACTCAATACTCGTAGCATTCAGTTTTCGAGCTTGGGAATCTTGGGACAGGATTTTAAGGTACACTCCTTTCAATAACGTTATTTGGAATTTGAGAAACTGCCATTTTGAGGTTCTGGAGGTGCACATCCAGAAGGGATCGCCAGATGGACACAAGGTGCAAGCGCAAGCGCACGCGATTGCGGGACTGTCGACAGTTTTGCGGGAAGCCTTCACTGTGGGTGGACAACGAACGATTGCTCTTTACTTCAAGTACGACGTTTTGAACTGCACAGAACTAGCCTGTGAAAGGCAATGCAAAGATGCAAGGATTGGACCTAAATTGATCGAACTTGAATGGTCCAGGTTGAGAATCCTGGTAGACTGCAAAGGGGTTTTGGTCCAGAACTCTGGTGAGAATGAAGAGCTAGGAGAGCACTGGAGAGGACCGGTGTCAGGCTGTTTTTCTCTTTCAAGCTATTCCTTTGGCCATACCCCATGCACAATAATATAGGTGCAGCTGCTTGTGTACTCAGACTGCAGCTGGCAGAAGATTGGCAGGTGATTTTCGTCGATCCTGTGTAAGCACATCTATAGCAGCTATATATATATATATATATATTATATGCAGCACACACACACATACAGATACACATGTGGGCGCTCCTGCACAGAAGTTATGAGTGGCGAGCTCTTGCCCTCTTTCTGCGTCTCTCCAGTAACTAGCGCTTCATAGGTCTGGATCTTGTTTGCTTCCATAGCTCGTGTTCCTTTGCAGGTTGTCTTTCGAGAGATGGCTGACGAGCATCCGGATGCCGATGCTGGTGACGTGGTTTTTGTGCTGAAGCAGCAGGAGATACGGCGGGGACCCTGATGATGCGAAGGTGACCTGGCGCATGCGATGTGATGAAGGCGTTACGGATGGTCACGATGGTGGTGAACGACCTGGATTTCTCCGGACCTCGAGTGATCACACTCTTCCCTTGGCTGAAAGACCCTGTGTCAGGAGCATGCTGACTTCAAGCGTAAGGGGGCCGACCTCTTCATCGAGCGCAAAATCTCTTTGGTAGAGGCGGAGCTGCACCAAACAGCCGAATCGGGCGTAGTCCTCAAAGTGCGTGCTGGACACATTGGCTCAAGAGATGGTCGTTTTGAAAGAGTTGCTCCAAAGTCACCTTGTAGTCTTGCTTCAAGTAGTATGGTGAAGTTCTGCTTGCGCCAGGCTCTGTGCGGCTTCACTATGGAGCTCACGCACTTGGATGGGCGGAAACTCCAGATCAAGACACAGCCAGGCTGGGGTAAAGAAGGGCTGGGCTGAGATCATTTGGTGCTGATGTCAGCTTTGAACTTGTTGCACGCCCTGTTGTTTGAAGAGCATCTTCTGTCGTCCCAAATGCCCTGGCCGATGGTCCTGGTGCGTGACAGGCGAGATCGTGAAGCCCATGAGCCAGGGCTTTGACCCCTTGGCCAAGGAGGAGAGATCGGCCAATCACCCAAGCCATCTCCTCTATGTGGCGGACTTAACGACGAAGGGCTTTTTCCTAAGGCTGAACCCAATCATTTTGGTCGATTGTCTTTGATGATCACAAACACTTCCTTTATCTTCCCTTCTTTGTCTTGCTGCTGATATCGCACCATATCTCAACATTCACTTATTGAGTGCCGTCTCATCATGGCTTTTGTTTGAAAAGGAAACTGATCTGATGCCTCGGACACTGATTCGTTTCGCAAACAGCTTGGCCAAACGTTTAACGGAGTCTAACGCCCAAGAAACCCACCTGTATCTTAGCAAGTTAGTTGTGAATTTGAGTTTGGTTTTCTATCTTGCTTGAGACTTTCACATTTTTATTTTGGATTCATTGATAATTGATAATTGTAATGCTTCATTGCCAGAGCCCGACCGGAAAGCTGAGCTGCTCCAAGAAGTCACTTGCCAGGGGACACTGGTCCTACACTCCTACACGGAACGAACGGGTCACCGTGTTTTGGGGTCCACTGATTCAAGACCCTACAGAAGTTCTGCCACGGAAAAGTGCATTTTTCGGCACGGAAGATACGGAAGACTACTAATGCCTCACAGTATATTATGATGTAACAGCACAATAAGTGCTCGCGCCAGGAAGCGAAGACGGAGTGGGAGGTGATCGAAGATGCAGACTGTCCCAGCGTTGAGAATGTAGCGCAGGCTGTCGCAGCGGGACATGTGAGTCGCTAGTAGGTGTGGTGAGTAACTGCTTTTCAAGGCTATATACATGTTGAGCATGGCCTTGGTGTAGTGCAATTCCGAAGGATTTTGTGAACCTTTCCGCCAGAGAATATCGCATTGCTAGGCAGACACCACAGACATCGACACGCTGAAGAAGGCTTGTGAGACCCAGCTGAAGCGCGACTCAGCTGAGACCAGAGGAGGACCTGCGAAGACGGAGCGTCCAGGACGACAGAGTCGAGCGGGCTCTGGGAGAGAGTGATTTGACGGCCTTAACATCTTAACCGGATTCAAGGAATATTTAAACATATATATATATATTCATGATATTTATAATATTTATATAATTGATGGCCGAAACCCTTCCCCTTGTCCAGCTTCAATGGCAGTATTGAACTTGTGCCGGGCCAAGAGATTATCACATCATGACCACGAAGAACTGCCGAGGTAAGGGCATCGACGTGGGCTGCTTTGTGGTGGATGGCCAACGTGCCTTGAACTTCAATGCAGTGTTGGCTTGATGCTTTGGCCCAAAGCCAGGATGACAAGATTCCCAACAAATGCGAAACTGCTCCACGTCATGTGCGTATTGGCACCTGGAACGAGCAGAAGCACTGGCAGCTCTGCAGCTTGTTCCCGGGCAGTGATGCTGAGGTGCCTACTTCAAGCAGTGCACCCGTGAGGAAGCACTGGCAGCAACTTGGAGCATTCAGTCACCAATTTTGCTCCCGAACAGCTGTCCCTATCAGGGAGCAGGGACATGACATGACATGACACAAACCTACAGGGGGGGTCGACGTGGTATTTTAGAAGTTATCCACATTGAATCCCGGTTGGGTATTGTATGGTATTATTGCAAGGCAACACTGTATTCTCCATGTTTGAGTGATGCTGACTGGCCCTTTGCTTTGCCATCTCTGAGGCAAAGAAGACGCGACGAGGAAGCAGCATGCCGGGCGCTCAAAAGCATTGCATATTCGTCCAACCTTGTGAGTTATCCACTCGACAGCTGTACCAAGTCTTCTTTTTTTAAATATAGTTTTTTGCACCGTCACACTGTTGACGTGGCGCTTTTGCTATGAATGCAGACCCATGTTCAGAACTGTTCAAACGTGTACCAAGGTACATCGTGACTGATCCCGATGTATCTTGGCTTTGACACTTGTTTTGGGGTTACTGGTGGTGAGTGAGCTGATTGGCTACCTTGCTCCTTTCTCTTCCTTTTCTCGTCGGGTTTCTCGAAACTTCTTTACACACTTTGCAGCAGAAAGTAGTCAAGCTTGGAAGGTGCAATATGCAGCACATGGCTAAAGCAATGCCCTGCGCACCAGGCTTCCCATGTTTGTTGGCCCAAACAATCGTAACAATAATACCAAGCAAGTGAAGAATGATGAAGTTGAGGGGACCACTGAGGCAAAGAAGGGATTCCGCATGATGAAGGCGCTGGGCAGAAGATCAATCGAATGGAGTCTTTCTGCTTCAGACCATCAGAGATCACAGGAGGCATGCGAAAAACCTTGAGACGTTTCACACCCAATGGCAGCAGGCGGTCAAAGACGAAGGCATGCCTACTTTCAAGAATCCGCAGCTTAGCTGTGATTGGGGAAGTCTTTGCGAGTTCTTGGCGAAGTCTTTGCATGTTGGAAGCAAGAAATGCTGCGAGAGATTGAGGTTTGTGCATGGCAACTTGTTTTTGGTCCTTACCATTGAGTCTGGACCTGAGGATTGTGAAGGATGTTGTATGATTTTGTTGAGCGTAACTTAAATGAACTCAATTGAACTTAGACGTCTAGAATCTACAATTGAAGGTTTGGTAGAGAGAGAGAGAGAGAGAGAAAGAGTATGTGGCCAACCTCAAGGTCCATACTGCAGGAACGCCAAAACGAGGAACGGGATGCACCGTGCTTCACTAGTCGACATGGCAAGCGACTTTGCTGAGGTTCCCTGATTCTCTCTCACCAGAGAATCAAGTTGTCAAGCTTGGCCTGTTTAGACGGTTGTCTACTTGTCTCAATGGTGGTGCTCTGGAGCCGAATTGATTGTGACGTGGTTTCTTCGGTCGAAGTAGCCATTGACTGGCTCACGGCATGACAGGCAATGGCGAAGCTGCTGCCACCACCTTTGCATGTTCCCAAGTGGACCGAGGAACCCAGCTCAAGAAAACAATCAATCAGAGAGGGGCAGCCAGACTCACGGGCCCCAGGATAGGATCAGGTGGATTCAATAGATACTGTATATATTTAATGTTAATATATTCATTCTTAATCATTCACTAAAATTTATGTAAGCATACATAAACCCTTTGAAATTGCTGTACTAACTATGAGGGTCCACTAGAGTTTCCTAGAGAGCCACATTGGCCCGCGATTCCCGACTTCACTCTGCTTTGCGTCGAGTGACCATGTGCCACGGCAGAGTGAAGCCGTGGACCTGTCCGCTTCCGACGAGCGGATCGCATGCGTCCCGTGACAGGATCAGCAGGATGTGGAGATCCACACTGTGACTGACATTGATCCCGTGCATTCCTACAATTCGAACAAGGCGCTCCCAGCACACACAGGGACGGGTGTGGCAGGAATCATCTCCCTCACTGTCCAAAGTTATTTGTCCCAGACATAAGTTCACTCTACCATGAGTGCAAAAAGAGAGCATCTGGGCATTGGCCTTTTTTCCCATGATCATCATTTCAGATATTTTCAGATCGTGCCTACTTACTGTTTGCCTCCAGCTGAGCCAGGTGAACATGTCCGCCGGGGGCGAGGCCTACGATGATGACGAGGAGGATGGCCCTCGTGGTCCTGGGGGTCCAGGAGGAGTGCAATGCCATCAGCAGTAAGGCAGGATGGGTGGGCGGTGACTGCGGGGTGGGTGGGATCCTAATTTGGATCACCGCGAAAAGATTGAAGGCTTTAAACGAACTTTAAAGCCTACAGCAATATCAAGGTCACCGGTCCCAATAATGCGGGACCCGTAACCCGGAGATTCCCAAGACCAGCCGACCTTAAATGCAGACATTTGATGACATTTGTAGCTTTTAAAGACTGGATGTGTCAAGATGTTTCACAGCTTTTTGGAGTTAAAGAGAGTGCATCCAGTGATTCCCATTATTCAATCCGATTAGCTTTTGCTTTCTTGCTACGCAGGCACTCAGCGCACGTCCCAGTAAGAAATGGGGTCGGATTTTCTCGGTCGACAGAACATGCAACGGTTGCAGCGCCTCTATCCCTTTGAGCATTGTTGAGCCTTGTTTTGTGACAGTTGAAGCGAGAAAATCTGAAAGCAATACTGACAATATTCTTTTCCATTCGCTTGCTTTGAAAGCAAGTGACCAAACTCATTGAGTTTGGGCCGTGGCAGTGCACCTGTGCGTAAGACTGCCACGGTGGGCAGAAAAACAGGTGGCGCCACTGCATTGCCGGACAGGGCTGCTTGAGGGGTGCTTCTGAAGTTTAGTTTAGTCTTTCTAGTTTAACTAGATTGAGTTTGCGGTTTTCAAATTATTGCAATAATGGTAATATTACGTTGTCCCATTTCCGAGGCAATAAAGTGTTCGCAAGATCTGGCGGCCGGCAATGTGGCGACACCGAGGGAGTCTTCAACATAAGGCTCTTATGCATGTCAGCCAACATACCTACAAACCGAGCTCCTTTGCACCAGAAAAGCGCGCGTGACTATGTACGGCATGTGCGTGACCATCAACTGTTAGGTGACAGCGTGAATTTTCCATGGCCAAGTGGACAGCCCAACTTCACCACATGAGACGAGAGTGTGAATTCAACGAAAAAAAAGAAGATAAGTTGTTCACGTGCGCTTCACCTTTTGCTCTCCGTGTGCCCAAGACATGACCCATGAATCGACGTCCAAGCAGATGAGACAACGACAAGAGCTGTAAGAGAAGAGCAAGACTCAGAGACGCTTCTTGTTCCACGTTAAGCCGCAACCGAACCAACCGAATCAAGAGGCCAGAGAAAAGGGCCTTTGAATCATGGCTAGATCGCCGGATTATGTTGGGAGAGACAATTCGATTGATTTAACCGATAGGCCCAGCTCTCCATCTGGGTGATCAGATCGCTTTGGCAAACACCCGGCAACAAGAGATTGACGTTCACCTCACAACCCTCAGCCCAAGTCGTCAATCTTACTCCAAGGATCTCACGTTCTATGCTTTGGAGCCAATGCAAACAGATGTTCAGTATGAACTGATCCCAAAGAGCGTGAAATCACCTTTCCCACATCCTGCCCTTCCGCGTTTCGGCAGCATGTCGTTGGGAGCCTCAGACAACAGTTGGGGCGGACCCATGTTTGGCTATGTTCGTTCATGGTGATGTCTACTTGAAGTTGCTGCAGGCCAGCACCAGTCTAGGAAGGTGCCTCAGAATGACCACTTTGGTTTTAAGATCTAACCTAACCTTTTTCTGGAGTGGTTGGTCTAGCAGAAGGCTACGTGCGGGCTTGATGGGTCAGTGGCTTGCGAATGCTCTTGTAGGACAACAAGGTTGAAAACTACTTGCTGGAGTCGGCGGTCCTGTATCCACCTGCCTTTTTTGTTTGTTTGTTTGTGTCTGGGCTTTTGGCATTCATGTACAAACTTGTGGAGTTATGCCATGAATTCCAGCAAGCTGCGTGGTTCTTTTTTACCCCCATTGGGAAGTGCTAAAAGAAGCTGTTACTGTTATATACTACCATGAACAGCTGGGCTGTTCCAATAAATAGACGAGTCAGATCTCCACCTGATGTGTTGGACGATGTTGGATGCATTGAGCTATAGGACCAGTGACTAGTTGCACAATGATGACCAGCCGGGCACAGGCACCACTGCGAGTCTCTGGTTTCGAAGCGATGCGCCAGGAACACCGCACTGGTGGGTGTGGAGCCCAGCTGATACCGAGCCGAGCCGAGCTCGGTCGACCGCACTGAAGACTCCACCGTTTTGGGTCTTTTCCACCGCAGTCGCAGGTATTTGCGGGAACTTCCGTCGCTACATCGAGCGACAGGAAGGGGTGCCACTGGCGCAGCTCTTCGAGGCAAGACGGTGCGATCCGGTGCGATCGGTGGGCGGGGAATTGGATGGGGCCCTGGGGGTGTGGATTGGGCAAGGAGGTGTTGAGCCCAACAAGGTCAACGTATTCTTTTTTTCGTGGCGGAGTGGGTAGTAGATGATAGACATCTTTTTCGACGCCTGCCGCGGTCTATCCAGGTTATACTTCCAGGTTTAGGTCGTTTGGTGGTCGAAGTCATTTGGTGGTCCGAGAGAGGCACGTT